TTTTTTTTAGAACTTAAGTTTCACAACAACAAATTACAATACCTGCCACTTTCGTTGGAACCGCTGTTACTTCAGGAAAATGGAAAGCGGCATCTTGACCTTTAACTCCTGCAGGAACTGTATAATCTACGTAGAACATTTCAAATTAATTTGACCCCGTAATAGTGTAGACTGTACATCACGGTTTTTCTGTGTTGGGCAGAAAACATCCTTTCTTTACTTATTGTAAAGCATGATTGAAGTACTTAATATATTACTTACTTTCAGGATAGGTAAAAGTACTTTTCACAAAAATTTTAAAATATTACAAGTTGTGAAACTACTCACTATTGCTCAATAACGCCACAACTACTGGGGAATTCCTCCGATAATCGCAACCGCCGTCGCATCATCTGTTGTCGTTTCAGTAAAATGTATGTCGCCTAGTATATCGGTAATGTCGATTTTGGTAATTTAAAAAAATTAAAAACTTACGTGGGGTAAACTTAGGTGTCGCTCGCGCTCGACATTTCATATGTACTCATGACTAATCACTAACTCTATAACATCTAACCATAGAGACTAACTATAGAATATACATATATAGAATAACATATACACAACATACACAAGAAATGAAATCGCTGTCTGATACGTACATCTATGATACTAACCATAACCTCATACCATAAGTAACTTGTGAATGTAAATCTTGAATCTGCTGTAATTTTAATATAAGAGAGTGAAGTGCACTGTATATTTAAATGTCCTGTCTTCTTTTTTAATTTGATTGTAAGCTTCAAACGTTCCATCACACTTGAACAGTAATGCTAATGCAGGAATAATGTAAATAATAAGATGAAGTACACACATAGCAAGGTATTAATAACCTATTAAATTCCTTCTAGTGCATATATATTTGGTTAATTTATCTTCACGTACTATTTCATCAAAATGGAAATACCTTCAGAATCTAATAACAAAAATTCAATGGAAAATTTAACAAAGGAAGAATTAGTAGAAAAATGCAAAACTCTTTTACAGGTTACTGATAAAGACAAGCAAGTTAAAAATACACTTATACAGGAAAATAAAATACTTCAAGAGCGTTTATCTGATATTGAAAAGAATGTAAATAATACCAACAGGGAATTAATTGAGAATTTAACACATCAGAAGTTAGAATTAGTTTCTACAATTTCAAATATGGAATTTGAAAAAAGTACTTTACAAAGTGAACTAAGTCAATGTCATATAAAATTGTCAGATTTGGAAAATAAGTTAGGTGACATGGATACACAAAATCAAAGTTTTAAGAGACAAGTACAGCGTCTTAATGATGAAAATGAAGGTTTGTTAATAAACTTGGATGCATTAGAAAAAGAAATTAAAGAAGTTAAAGATATTAACTGTAGTTATCAAAAGGAACTTACTATGTTACATGATAAAAATATAAACCTTATGAAAGAACAGCATAAATTTATTGAAATACAGAAAACTTGTGAAAAATTGCAAGAAAACATAAGATTTCGAAGAGAAAATACTAAACTATCTGACAAAGATGATACTTTAGAAAATAAACACAAACTAGAAACTGAAGGAACTACATCTGAAGAACAGCATAATGAAAATAACACTTCAAAAATTATCCAAGATACGATCAAAGATTTACATCAAAATACTTCATATTTAATGCAAAAAAATGAGGAATTAACTCTTGAAAATGGTAAATTAAGTGAAGAAAACAATAGTCTTTATAATCAAAACAAGGAATTGGTGCATACATCATCTAAATTAAAGAAAATTGTTAGTGAGTATGAAAATACAATAATTGACCTTAATAGAAAAAATAAAGAAAAAGAACAACAAATTGAAAATTACTTAAATTCTAAGGATGATCTTAATACAGAATTACATAAAAATAGAGCACTGATTGAAAAATTGCAACAAGACCTTCATTCTACAGCAGCCAAACTTGCTGACAATCAAATTGTATGTAGTGGCATTACAACTGATCTCCAAAATACCAATGAAAAACTAAAAGAAAAATTGAAATCCTATCACTCAAAAATTGTTAAATTTGCAAAAGATGTTGCAAGTTTAAAAAATTTGAAAGATACCTTGATAAATGATTCTAAGAAATATATATTGGAAGCTCAAAATTGGCAGAAACAATTAGAAATATTATCAAATGTTTTTGTGAATGAGTTAAACAGAATCAAAAATGAAAATTTGTTACTATTAAAAGAAAATGTAGCATTTAAAGAAACACTTGCAGATTCTAATAAAAATTATGAAACATTGGCTAAAGAAAAAGAGACATTGCTACAGAATTTTGATAATATTTCTCTAAACAATATTGGAAATGAAAACAAAATTGGAAACCTAAGTACAGATAAAAAATCAACTGAAGAAAATTCCTTAATCAAAAAGGAATTTTGTCCTGTGAAAACAATAAGTGATACTTTAGAAAATGAAATACAATCACTAAAAGTGAAAAACAAAGAGTTAGATGATAACCTAGGAAAAGAAATTGCAGAAGTTTTAGCTTTAAAAACAACAAATCATGAATTACAATTAGAAAATCTTAATTTAGAAAAGTTGAAACTTGACGAATCTAAAATTAGTTCAAAAGATAAAATTAACTCTGAAGATCTATCTTGTTTTACAACTAAAAATAAAGAAAATCTACAGAATTTTTGTAAAGTTAACACTGAAGAAGATAGTAAAGATGTCGAAGGTGTTCATATTCAAAAGCAATTATTAGAGTTACATAGCATAAATGAGATCCAATTGAAAGAAATTAATGAATGCAAACAACATAATGAATGTTTAATCAAAGAGTTAGAAACTTTAAAAACTGCTGAAATAGGTTTAGCTGAACAATCACGACGAGAAATTGTAAAATTGAATGAAGAAATTCTTCGCCTTACTAATATTAATGAAGAACTTCAAGAAAGAATAAAGAAAAATGAAAAATTGCTTCTATTAACACATTTTAAAGAAACTCAGACAAATGAAAATTTGGATAAAGAAAATGAATTAGAAGAAACTGTAAGTATTTTAAAACGTGAACATAATGAGTTATTATCTGAGATGAATTTTATGAATCAAGAGCTTAAGGAACGTGGTGAAATAATATCTAAGCAGGAGGAGCACTGTGAAGAACTGCGGAAGAAAATTAAAGTTTTTGAAATACAAAGTAATAAAGCCAGTGAAATAATTCAAGCAAAAGAAGGTATAATTACTGAACTACAAACGGAATTACAAAACTTAAAACAATATTTATCAGGTCAAAATTTCAAATGTGAAGAAGATAATCAATTAAATTCTGTAGTAGATGAATTAAGACAAAAAATAAATCTAGTTGAATACCAGTCTCATGAAAAATGTGATAATGAAGTAGATTCAATGTCTGCCTCTACCATATCAAAAACAGAAGAAATAGGCAGACTCAAAGATTTGGAAGGATCATGGGAAGAAAAATATGGAAAATTAAGATCATTAGCAATCAAACTTAAAGGCAAGGTAAGAAATTTAGAAGAAGAAATAGTCAAAGAACAGCAAGAAAGGACTCATTTACAACAAAAATTTTCAAATAGCATTAAAACTTCCCAAATGCTTCAAACCAAATGTGATAAAGTCGAAGATGAACTTGATAATATTAAAACTGAAAATGAAAAATTATCCAAAAAGCTTGATTCAGCAGCACTAGAATTGAGTAGTGCAAAAAAACAGCTTTCTATAGACGAAGAACAGATATGTGAATTGAAACGTCAGATAGAAACTCTAACTAGAGAAAAACAGGAAGTTAATAACTGGAAGCGACAAGTTGGAGGAAAGATACAGACCTTAAGGAAAGAAGTAGAAGTTAATTCAGCTCTCAAAAAGGATCTTGAAAATCAAATATCAAAACTAAAAGCTGATCTTGAATTAAAAGAGCACGAATTAAAAGAAGAAATTGAGCTTCACAGTCAGACAAAAAGCTTACTTCAAGAGTCAAATAATGAATGTAAAAAGCAGTCAGTGCTTAATTTAGAAATGCAAGATTATGAGCGAGGCCTAAAAGATCTGTCTCAAAAATTAGAAAAGAAACAAGAAATCATACAAAGTTTTAAAGCTCAACTAGAATCCCAAAAAACAACTTCAAATGCATTGAAAGAACAAAATCGAGTATTAGAAGAACGTTTTCAATTGAATGAGGTGGAATTGGATGAAGCTAGAAAACGAATTAGTGCCTACCAAAAGAATATAAACAATTTGGAAGCTGTCATCATAAATAAAGATGAAAAAAATGCAGAATTGATGAGCTCAATTGAAAATTTGCGTCTGCAAAATGAAGAATTATCTGCTGCGTTGTCTAAGGTGATTTCAGAACAGCAAAAGGCAAACTTGAGCCTAAAAAGTGAAAAAGAATACTTACAAAGTCAAAACATAGGTTTGGAACAACGCCTACGTGAAGTTCAAGGTATGTTAAATATTCAAGAAGAAGAACTAAATTTACTACAAATGGATTATCAGAATTATAAAGTTAGGGCACAGACTGTACTTAAACAAAGTCAAAATCGAGATGTTGCACAAGAAGAAAAATTATCTCATGAACTTTCCACTTCCAAAGCACAAATTGCAGTTTTAACGGAGCAGTTGAAAGATTCAAGGTAAGCATTTGTAATGTCATAATTTTTCTCTACAACATTTTGTTTATTATACTCGCACTAAATAGCAAATGTCTAACTTTTGCGTTTATTGTTTGTTAATTGTACCTACTTATAGTGGGTAGAAAATAAAGACTGGTAAACTAAAGAGGGTTACCCTAATTACCATTACGTGGACTCTTGTTTCGCAATATGAAGGAACGTTGCAGTGGCAAGTAATTAGGGCGAATCTCTCTTGTTAATTTTTTTGGAAATAAACTTCAAAAACTAATGATTTAATGAAAAAAATTATTTGATATATTGGAATAGAACGATCGAGAAATGTTTTGATGTTTGAGTTAAACAGAATCAAAAATGAAAATTTGTTACTATTAAAAGAAAATGTAGCATTTAAAGAAACACTTGCAGATTCTAATAAAAATTATGAAACATTGGCTAAAGAAAAAGAGACATTGCTACAGAATTTTGATAATATTTCTCTAAACAATATTGGAAATGAAAACAAAATTGGAAACCTAAGTACAGATAAAAAATCAACTGAAGAAAATTCCTTAATCAAAAAGGAATTTTGTCCTGTGAAAACAATAAGTGATACTTTAGAAAATGAAATACAATCACTAAAAGTGAAAAACAAAGAGTTAGATGATAACCTAGGAAAAGAAATTGCAGAAGTTTTAGCTTTAAAAACAACAAATCATGAATTACAATTAGAAAATCTTAATTTAGAAAAGTTGAAANGAGAATGCCAATTTGATTTTGGAAAAAGAAAATGTAGAATTAAGCATAAAACAAATGAAGAATGAAATAGATGATTATAAAAAACAACTTAATGAGATGTCCTGCAAATATCATTTGGCCGTTAGTGAACATTCAGACAGTATTAGGAATTTAAAAGTTCGTTGTGTTAATCTGTATTAAGAGTAGTTTTAATTATGAATATTTATAGATTCATTTAGAAACTGTTACACAGTGTTATAAGCAGCAATTGTCTGAACAAGAAGTTCGGCATAATAGAGAAATAATCGAATTACAAAGTAAACTAGAAAAAGGAAACTTTCTACTTGAAAATCAGTCAGCTGTACATCCAATAACGCCTCGTGAAGAAGGAGAAGGCTCCGAAAGTGTTGATTCCATTAATGTTTCCAATACCTATCCTGTACCATTAGAACGTCTCCTTAATAATGAATACGATCAAGAAGTAATACATATTAAAAAACAGCTTGTGCAGAACGATGCAAAAGTATCACATCTTACTGCATTGCTAGCTGATACAGAACAGGATTTGGCAAAGCATGTACAAATGAATAGACTTTTAAAAGAAGAGATTCGGAGACAACAGAGATCTGTGGAGCGAGAAAAACATGCTGAAAATTTGGAGTATTTGAAAAATATCATTTACAAGGTAATCGAAATTGGATAAAATAGTTCTTCAAAAAATTTTAATAACAGTTAAATTTCAAAAGAATTTTGAACGAGACAAAATCATACCAAATTACATATTCTGTTGTTTTAAATGTTCTTAGAAAATTCTAAATTATGTTTGCTGTTTTTTTTTGTACTTCTCCTAATGCATGTGATTAATAATAATTAGGTACCAATTTATAAGATAAGTATTTATTTCAGTGAAAATTAAAAAAAGATATCTTTTCAGTTTGTTACATTAAGTAGTGGTGATGAAAGGAGCCGCTTAGTGCCAGTACTTAATACTATTTTGAAATTCAGTAAAGAAGAAATACAAAAATTAAACGAAGTTGCTAGAGGTGAACAAGGACTTCGTGGTTGGACTAATTATTTATCATCTGCATGGACTTCGCCAAATAAACCCCAATAATAGATAAATAATAAATATAAGTATTTACTACCAATATTTTCTTGTTTATTATTCTTCATATAATTTGTATATTTTGTCCTTCATTAAATCTGAATTTAAATAATGTAAATTTCATTTTTAAAAAACCTCAAAAAGGAATTTCTTTTTATGTCGCAGCAATATTGTTAAAATCGTAATGCTACATAAACCAAATTATAAAAAAAACGTCAGTAATAATTTTTTCTTATATTTAATGTATGTAGACAATGTTATCCAAAATTCCACATAAAACGTTCAAAAACCTTGAACCCAAAATGCCTTCAGTTAATTTTAAGTCTCTAAAAACCAACAGAACTATTTGTTTTGCTTACATAATTAATTTGATTACCGAGCGGTTTCTTTATAATATTGATACTCCTAACGTACAAATGATAAATGCATATTTAATCACGTCTCATAGTATTATGTTCTAAAATATCGCTTTTCTGCCTAATTTGATTTTGAATTTCCCTCACAAAATTAATATCCGGTAGTAAGAAAACAGAATCTCAATTAGTCAAACGATTCTTATACTTATAAAATTTTTTGCAAACAGTTGTTAAAAATTTTCCCTTTAAGCATCTCGATGTTTTTATTCAGGAAGAGAAAATTTAAAAACACAATTAATTCATATTAATACGCCTAAAAATAGTAAAATCAATAATAAAAAAATCACTAGCCATCTCTATTTCCGCTTGTCTGCGCATTCAGAACGAGTCTCCACTCGCCCTCTTACTGTGCATTTCAAGGTGAGTGAGTATCTGTAGTGAAGTTGTTATTTGTTACCGGTGTTATATTTAATTCGGCCTATTTAGCTAGTGCCGAAATTTCTGCATTTACACAATCAGGTAAACGAAAGCAGTATTTATTGGAAATTACTATTATTTAATGTTGCATGCTAATTAAAACTCGCCAAATATTAAACAATTGAATTTGATAGTTTGCTTTCCGGTTGTCATAACTCATTGTCAATTTTTTGTGTAAACTGTAATAAACGCCGCATTAATTCTTCAGAACAAAGTATTTATGAAAATCGACTCGATTATTACAGTATAACTGACGACCCATAGGTACCTAATTCATTGACCTCAGTGATTTGACGTTTAGCGGAAAAGTGAGAACTGTTCATTGCCTTTTCGAGATAAGACGTATGTAATTTTCGAATTTTTCTTGTTAGTACTTACCTAGGTATTTGATGAGATATATTATGAATATCTACATTTTTCAATTATTGATTTTTGGGTCTTGAATTTGTATAAAACCTATATATGCAAAAGTAATTTACACAAATAAGTAGTAATCACTAGTGTATTTTAAATTCTATAACAGCTATATTTTATTTATGTATTACACAACGTATTTAATTTAGTTGAATAGGTCTTTCCCAGTACATATCTATAGTCTATCCCAATATGGCGCCTAGTCTTTAATTTTAATCATTATTTGCTCTTGTACCGCCTGCACTCTTTACTTCTTGGTTATGCTGAAGTTCATAAATTATTTGCAATAATTAAATAAATAATGTTAATGCATTTTCGCATTTTAAAATAAAAATTGGTCATGTCAGTATTGTCGCAGCCGGCTTTCACCTTTTAACTGTTACAATTAATAGGTGAATTTTCTACCACGTTATTTTGCTTTAATACTTATGAATGCATTGAAGAATAAAACACATACTGAGGTATATGCATATAATGGAAGCTTTCCAGTGAGGAAAACAAGATGACAATGTTTGACAATATTAAGTTACCAAAAGCATAGTACACTTGTGCGTGGAAAATAACGACATTCTACCTCGCTAGGAAGCTCCCATTAGAGATGCGTAGCTAGTTTAATATAAATTTATGTATCATACAAAATTTTGGATTTCTGAAATTCGTAAAATATTTTCATAAGAATATAGGTATGCATATACATATAAAGATTAATTTCTTTCGTTGCATTGCCACAATCATACTAATAACTAAATTTAATTATTAA